GGACGAGAGACGAAACGTTTCTACATTTTTTGTTGTTTTGCTTTGTTTTGGGTTTTTTTGAATGTCCAGAGGACCAGATTGAACTTTTTTAGATTTTTCTACCTGGATTATTGAGCATGCATCAGGATAGGATGCTTAATAGTGTATACCGTATTTTTCACCCTATAAGTTGTGTTTTTTTGCATAATTCACATGCCCTGCGACTTATACGCTGAAGCGACGTATTTATGGATTTTTTTCCCATATTTATAAACCGATGTTTGACTGAGATATGACCGTTTTCATTCATTCTGACTGGAAAAATCGAACACTACCATTTTAAGCTGCTAGATGATCGAAATGTGTGGGATGTCGTTGTGTCATATAATAGGTAAAAAGTGGCTATTAACCTCCTAGGACCTAGCATCCACATAAGCAAGGGTTCAGGTCTTAGGAGGTTAATGACACAGTTGGCTTGCCATAGCCTGCCACCTTCGTTCTGCTCGCTGCTTGGAGCAAATGTCAAATCGCTTCATTTCTCTGCACCGCCCTGGAGAAATGCAGCTGATTTGACCATTGAAGTGTATTTATTAAGTAAAAGTTAAACTGAGACACATCTTTACTATATGTATATATGTCGAGCAAACAAATAATTGTTTTAGATGCTTATCTTGTTAAATTTCCAAGAAATGCGCAGCGTTCCTCCTTCCTGATTTCCTCCCTCAGAGCGCGCTCCCGGAGCACCGAGGCAGCAGATACTTTTGAAATGCAGCTGATTTGACCGTCAAAGTGCATTTATTAAGGATAAGTTAGACTGAGACACACCTTTGCTATAATTTCAAACAAGCAATTGTTTTTAAGTGTTAATCTTGTTAAATTCTTGTTAAAGTCCTCCCGTGCACGCTCCCGCGGCCGCCATTTGGCAGCCAATCGATTTTTGGCACAACACCGGCCCTCATTTCCAGGTTGTCAGCGGTGACGCATAATAGATGCGACGTATACGGCGAAGCGACATATTTATGGATTTTTGTTTCACTTTATTAGACATATTTGGACTGATGCGACTTATAGGGCGGTGCGACGTGCACGGTAGAAAATACAGTACTAGAAGATGGTAGATCTGGAGGGATGTGAAGGAGCTCATTTTATCTTGTCAGCAGAACTCCACAGTTTCTAGTTTAACTAAGACATGTTGACTCTGTCTGATTCCCTCAGGCTTTTCGGTCAGGATGGCCTCTGTGCTTCTTGTGAGAAGAGGATCCGGGCGTTCGAGATGACCATGCGCGTGCGGGACAAGGTTTACCACCTCGAGTGCTTCAAATGCGCCGCCTGCCAGAAGCACTTCTGTGTGGGGGATCGCTACCTTCTCATCAACTCAGACATTGTGTGCGAGCAGGACATCTTTGAGTGGACCAAGCTCAGCGGCAGCAGTATGGTTTAGGATCCGTCCGGTCTTGACAGAAACGGACCGTTGATGAACGGCTGGCTTGATGCTTCACACGGAGTCATGAGAGCACAGGACGAGAGAAGCTTCATTTCAGCATTTTCTGCATGCAGACTGATGAAGACTACATTTATAAAGTGTTTCTTTTTCATAACTTACGCAAAAGAAAAAAGAAGTGCACATCAGTAATTTGTTATACACTGAAAAGTTTTTGAATTTTACAAATATTAAGCGTCTTTCTAGTTTTTTGCAGTGTTGAAAAATCATCATACTGCTCTGCAGTATGAGTCTTATGGATTTTTCTGTGATGGGCTTGTGTTAGAATAACTTTGAGCTAATTTTGGAGTAAATCTGAATCATCTGAAGGAAAAACTCCAATTAAATCTAAAAAGTCATTTACTGATTAATATCAATCACAGATCGCACAGTTTTCCATGAATTGTTAAACATCTGTCTGAACAATTGATTTTTTTATTTTGAGCTGACCGTCTGCTTTGACTCATTGCGAGCATTATTATCATTATTATTATTATTATTTTACAACTTTAACCTCCTAACCAGCAGCAACAAACCCTGTTGACTTAGATATGAACACAGAGCCTGACAGAGACTGGTAAAGGTGTTGTGTTTAGTTAAAAAGTCCTGATCAGGATAGTTGTTGTTACTAGGGTGAACTGGTGGCGCCCTCTAGTGGTTAAGAGGGCTCATGCAAAACGGATTTGACTGAATTTTAATGTATGAAGTTTCCATTGAATCTTTTGTAAAATCAGTAACACTGAACATGCACTCATACCTTTTTGGATATTTGCTGGTCAAAATGTTTAATAAATGACCGTTTAGAAAAATGTTTGTCATCTTGTTTGTGTTTCTGGACATTTGACATGAGTCAAGAATTACCTCGACCATGTGAGTGACGGGGAACTGATTAGCATTACATGTAAACATGTCACAAATATTTAGATCTTCACATGTAGGTTTTAAGGATGGTTCTTAGGAGGTGGTTTAAACTGTGTTTTTGACAGCATTTTTCTTTGGTTTAGGAAGGTATTACAAAACAACCACAAGTAAAAATAATCTATAAGTCGCTGAATGTCAAACGCTTATTTCTACTGAACATTAATAATCGGTAGTTGACCGAAGTGCTGCATAAAGTATAAAACAAATTAGCAATAATGTTGAACTTTTATAAAATATTTTTTATTGAACAAATCAATAAAAAGACAAGACTTTATGAAATCGATTTAAAGCAATGATTCAAAATAATCTAAGTAAACAAAATACACAAAATCAGAATATACAGGTGCTGGTAATAAAATTAGAATATCAATAAAAAAGTTGATTTATTTCAGTAATTCCATTCAAAAAGTGAAACTTGTATATTCATTCATTACACACAGACTGATATATTTCAAATGTTTATTTCTTTTAATATTGATGAGTATAACTGACAACTAATGAAACCTCAAATTCAGTATCTCAGAAAATTAGAATATTGTGAAAAGGTTCAATATTGAAGACACACAGTGAAAAACTCTAATCAGCTAATTAACTCAAAACACCTGCAAAGGCCTTTAAATGGTCTCAGTCTAGTTCTGGAGGCTACACCATCATGGGGAAGACTGTTGACTGACAGTTGTTCAAAAGACAACCATTGACACCTTGCACAAGGAGGGCAAGACACAAAAGATCATTGCTAAAGAGGCTGGCTGTTCACAGAGCTCTGTGTCCAAGCACATTAATAGAGAGGTGAAGGGAAGGAAAAGATGTGGTACAAAAAGTGTACAAGCAATAGAGATAACTGCACCCTGGAGAGGATGGTGGAAAAAAAAAACCATTCCAAAATGTGGGGGAGCTTCACAAAGAGTAGACTGCAGCTGAAGTCAGTGCTTCAAGAACCACCACTCACAGAGGTATGCAAGACATGGGTTTCAGCTGTCACATTCCTTGTGTCAAGCCACTCTTGAACAAGAGACAGTGTCAGAAGTGTCTCGTCTGCGTCTGCTGCTGAGTGGTCCAAAGTTATGTTCTCTGATGAAAGTAAATTTTGAATTTCATTTGGAATCGAAGGTCCCAGAGTCTGGAGGAAGAGAGGAGAGGCACAGGATCCACGTTGCTTGAGATCCAGTGTCAAGTTTCCACAGTCAGTGATGGTTTGGGGGTCATGTCATCTGCTGGTGTTGGTCCACTGTGTTTTCTGAGGTCCAAGGTCAACACAGCATCTACCAGGAAGTTTTAGAGACTTCATGCTTCCTGCTGCTGACCAACTTTATGGAGATGCAGATTTCATTTTCCAACAGGACTTGGCACCTGCACACAGTGACAAAGCTACCAGTACCTGGTTTAAGGACCATGGTATCCATAGCAACCTGGGCTCTCATCACACCTGAGCAGTGCCACAGACTGATGGACTCCATGCCACGCCTGCAGTAATCCAGACAAAAGGACCCAACAACTAAGTATTGAATGAAGTACATGCTCATACTTTTCATGTTCATACTTTTCATGTTCATATTTCGCAGTTGGTCAACATTTCTAAAAATCTTTTTGGTTTTCATTAGCTGTCAGTTACAATCATCAACATTAAAAGAAATAAACATTTGAAATATATCAGTCTGTGTGTAATGAATGAATATAATATACAAGTTTCACATTTTTAATGGAATTACTGAAATCCATCCATCCATCCATCCATTATCTTTACCCGTTTATTCCATTTTGGGTCACGGGGGTCGCTGGTGCCCATGTCCAGCAATCACTGTGCGAGGGGCGGGGTACACCCTGGACGGGTCGCAAGTCCATCACAGGGCCACATAGAGACAAATGAGACAAACAAACATTCACTCTCTCACTCACACCTAGGGACAATTTAGAGTTACCAATCAGCCTAACATGCATGTTTTTGGTTTGTGGGAGGAAACCGGAGCACCCGGAGAAAACCCACGCATGCACAGAGAGAACATGCGAACTCCACCCAGAAAGGCCCCTGGACCGGGGTTTGAACCAGGGACCTGCTTGCTGAGAGGCAGCAGCTCTACCAGTTGCGCCACCGTGCTGCGGAATTACTGAAATAAATCAACTTTTTCGTGATATTCTAGTTTGATGACCAGCACCTGTAGCAGCAAGAAATTGGAAACCAATTTGCAAACACATATATGTTTTAGTTTTTATGAGAAAACTGCGTAAATATCTGTTTATATGTGCATTCTCTTTGTGGCTTCATGGTTGATTTATACTAATTTCAACCTGATTTAGAGAGACTAAAGTTGATGGTTAAGGTGAAACAGTTTTTCATAAATGAAGAAAATTACCTGGAACATAAAAGAAACTAACAAAAAACTAACAAACAAACAATGAAACAATACATTAATCTAAAAACAAATCACGAATGGAGTCAGGGGTTATATTTTAGGATGTCAGAAAGTCTGATGAACCTAACTGTTTCCATATATTTCCCCTCAGAAAGCGAATAAATCCAATAAATTTGGAGAAATAATTAAGGTGGCAAAGAAAGATAAAAATATTGCATTAGGAGAAGTAATCAAAATGTACATTATCAGAATAGATATGATTTACAGATTAAAATGAAATGGACCTTTTTGTGATGGAACAACTATTAAAAAATAAAAAGGCTAATTTAAAATAATAGAAAACTACAAATTATTCTTTTTTTTTTTAAAAAACCAACAACTTCCAAGTGAAACATTTTGGAGCTGGAAGCAAGAAAAAAAACTCTTCGGGACATTTTAAAGCTGCACTGACAAGTTCAGTCAACAAAATAAATCTCTACAAAAAGTGCCTTATATTCTTATATTCTGTGCATGGACAAATTTATTGGTCCAGAGCATGTGCCACAAGGAGCGCGCTCGTAACAACAAGCTGCAAATATATTCTCTTGTAATGAATCTTAACATTTTAGGAATCGACAGCATTTTACCACCTCCCAGCTCAGATTGGATGAATCCTCTCACAACCCTGAACTAGAGGATGAATGAAACCACTTTTAGCCACAAGAGGTCACTGACAGATTTATAAGAAACTGGAAAGTTGGCTACAGAATGTGGTTCAACACATAAAACAACTTTCCTGACAGGAATGATGAATGTTGGAGACAAAAAAAGGAGAAAACATGTTGATGAAGTCACGATGTTCTTTAATTCACTGCCTGTTCCTGAAGATGGTGTGAGTGGAGTTTTAATCTCCTTCTGCCAGCTGTTAACCTGGATTATGAAGAGGCCTGACGAAGGCCTCGTTCAGAGAGGTTTCCTCACCCGACATTAAAAAGAGGTTTAAGGTGAATGAGAAAAAAAAAAGAGTGTTTAAAGGGAGAGTGAGCACAGAAGCTACAGAGTTATTAACAGTGTCTGACAGTAGTTTGTTTACTGACAATGAAGGAGGAGACCAGACCCACCCGGGTCTGAGCTAATGTTCCTGCTGAAACAGATATTTGTGGGGGATCTAATGAGTCTTCCCACATCAGAGGTGGGAATACACTGCGTGGGCTCGCAGCGGGATGGAGCGCCTCCCTGCTCTTTGCAGGTCTGTGAAATTGTCAGTTTAGCATGAAGCAATGCTCAAGGAATGGCAGCGTGGAAAAATAATTGCTGCGAGGCGGTTTCACCAACAAATCAGCTCCACATTGAGCCCCAAGTTTATGAAAAGTCGACGCGTCGACTGAACAGGCAGCTTGAACCTGACAACAGCTCAGCAGACACTGACGCTCCATCCTGGGGACACAAAGCACTCAAACTGTGTTTGACTAACTTTTAGGTTTCATTTAAAAATCACATGGTTAAAAAAACAAGTTTTGTCTTTTAACTAGCTTGCTGATGCCCATCGCTGAAAAGTGAAGGCAGACTATGTTTAATAGAGCTGCTACAGCCAGCGGATCTTAAAAACACATACATGTCTATAGTTCAGCCATCTTTACAAATATTGTAATAGCTGAAAGTCCTCCCCGTCACATACTCTGAGCACTACACATTACACAAGAGTTCTGTTTAAAACTTTAGAATGAACAGTTAAAGACCACCCTGTTTGTTACTATGATGTGATTATGACTATTGATTGTGTTCATGCCTTTTGCTTTTATTTCTTGCAATATGATTTAGTATTTCATTGTTTTCTAACTATGTTTTGTGCTTTTATTCCTGATGCTGTAATTATATCTTGTTATTTTTATTTGATGCTGTGATCTTTTTGTTAAGCACTTTGGTAGCAGTTCCTGTTTTAAATGTGATATA